CAGTGCTGTCTCCCCAAGCCTTTCCTGAATCTTTCCACCCAAGACCAGCACCCCCCCATTCCCTTCTTTAGTGATGTCCATTTATGGGAATCCAGGCTCTTTATAGTCTGGGAGACACTGATCTTGGTTTCCTCTATGCCTGGGGGGATGGGACACAATTTCAGCCCACGTTTGCTGAAGACCCAACAACCTCCCAGTGCTGCCAATGTCACAGGCAGAAGACCATGGGAATCCCAGGGCTTAATTCCAAAGCAGGAATGCTGTATTCTCAATGTAGGACACAGAGAGAGAACAGCTATATGACCTGAATGGCAGTTTTGTCTATAAAAAGTTTTGAAAATTGTTCTGTGCTTCTCAGATAATGAGAGTAAAAGGCAATAACCGAAACACTTTAAAGCCCATTCAGAACATTTCTGGGGAGACAGGGAAGACACACTGAAGTTCCCATGTGAGATTCCTAGACAAGGCAAGTTCTAGCCAGGAAATGGAGGCTACAGGGGGCTGGTGGTGGCTGGAAACGCCCTGTTCAGAAACCCTAGACATCAGCTGACCTTGACAGCTGCTTTTCCAGTGGGCCACACAGTTTTGCTGCTGCTGTTTGATAGTTGTCGATGGTCTGAACCCGTATCTGAGATTCAGAGCTACAGAAAACCCAGTTCCCATGAAAGAGTCTCCATAATATGGCTGACGCTATGTCCCTTGCCCAGGCCCTGGGCTCAGATCAGAGCTTTAAACTTGGTTTCAAGAAGGCAGCAGTGTATGTGAAGTGACCTCCCTGGAGAGGGACTGGCCCAATCAGCAGGGCACTTAGGGATTGAGCCAGGGCCCACCTTTCATGTACACACAAGGGCACAGAACGCTCCTGTCAACTTCTAATTCTTATTTGTGAACCTGAGTGGGATCTGGGCACAGAAGATCTATCTGAGATGCCTGGCCACTGCCCTGCTGCCAGCTCACTTAGAGTGGATCATGGAGGTGCCACGGCACTCGGCCAAGTTGCGGGCAAGCAGGGCCCTCTCGTCCGGGAGCTTCTGGGTGGGTCTCCTTCCATGCTGGGAGAACAGATATGCACAGCTGTGCTGGTCCTGCCCTTCCTTTATCTCAGGGGACCCTGGAAGTGCTGGTGATGTTTTTGAGGGTAGAGGTGGGGTACTCTGGCACCTCCAGATGGAGTCTGGTGCTGCTGTACACCCTGAGTGTTTAGTTCCACTCCACCATGGAGACTTTTTTCAATCAACAGCGCTGAGGCTGAGAACCTCAGAGGAGCCATCACTCATCTCTCCATGTGACTCTCATGTTCGGGGACACGTGTACAGGCAGCTAGCTCGCCCTGACTCCTGGCTCTCATCTTTGGCAACAGTGGTCAAGATGGGCCTTGCCAAGTTTGCGACAACTGGACTAGAGCACCTTCATCCATCCTTGCAGGCTACTGAGCTCTTACGAGCTTTGCAGTGTATTCATCGAGGACACGAGCACTACGTGTGCACACCCACATGCACACACTCAAAGCAGGAGAAATTTAGGCCAGTCTGGAAAGACCATTTGCAGCAGCGTTTCCCAACCCTCCTAGTGCTGCAACCCTTTAATCCACTTCCTCACATTGTGGTGGGCCCAACCATAACATCATTTCATTGCTGCTCCATATCCGTAATTTTGCGGCTCTTATGAATTGTAAGGTAAATAGTTCTGGAGACAGAGGTTTGCCAAAGGGGTCATGACCCATAGGCTGAGAACTACTGACTTAGAGTGTCCACTTGACAGCAATGGAAACTAGGTAGCCACCTTCATGTCAGTACTCTGTTGTGGCTTGAGTGTAGAGGGGAGAGTTTATCCCTTCCGGATACATTTCTGACTTGGTCGACTGGGAGCAGCCAGCAGAGCCATGTGGAGACCACGGGGCCTGACTGGGGACTGTGCTCTTGGCGGCACACAAAGCCACGCGCCTTTGCATCTCTGAGTAGGAATACTGACTTCAGTGACATCCCAGCACCCTGCAGGGTGCTGACAGTAAAGACCACAGGATCAAGAAGCATTAGAAATGTGCATGTGGGGCCAGGGAGACGTCTTGGTGATAAACCACATGCTACACAAGCACAAGGACCTGGCTTAGCCCCCCTAGAACCCATGTAAAAAATCCAGGAGTGGGGCAGAGTGCTTATAATGAACTAGAATCTGGGAGGCCGCACTAGGAAGCTTGGGGCCTAGTCGAATCACTGAGCTCCTGTTTTCATAGAGCTCCTGTCTCTTAAAAATAAGGAGGGATGAAAAAGGTACTTGACCACTGTCACACACACACACACACACACACACACACTCACTCACTCACATATGCACATACATGTACACACACACTCACACACACAGGCACACACACACTCATACATGCACACACATACACTCACACATACTCATACATATACTTTCTCACACACATATACACCAGTTACACATACTCAAACACACACACAGTCACTGTGTGTGTATGTATGTATATATATATATCAACATAGTTAAAATGATTGTGTCTGTCTTACGACAGTTATATTTATCTTCATACCATCCTGGAGAGTATTAAACTTCCTATCACGTAAACTCCGAAGAAAGAGAAATTTGAGTATGCCTTCAATCCCTGTACTTCGGAGGTAAGGTGGATCTCTTAGTTTAAGGCTAGCTTGGTCTACAAAGTGAGTTCCAGGACAGCCAAGGCCACACAGAGAAATCCTGTCTCAAAGACAAACAAACAAACAAACAAACAAACAAACAAAAACCCTCAAAAAAGAAAGTGAAATATGTTCATAGTTGGCCTTCTAGGAAACACTCAAATTCTACTCCATACCTACCCAAGAAAGCATCTCATGCCCCAGTTCACAATGCAGAACCCACTGAGCATGTTCAAGAAAAAAACATCATCTGAAAATGTAACAACCAAAACTTTGTTGCTTCATGGCCCTTTAGCCAACCAGCGGCACAACTATGGGGAGTGCCAGGACAGACCTCCGAGAGCCCAGAGAAACCCAACACCACGCAGTCCCAACCGATGACACGTCTGTTACAGGGCGAAGACAGGACTATTGGAACTGTCGTCTTTGTAGAAAAGGAGCTACAGCATACGTAGCTGATGAATTAGCAGGTAGCTCTCCCTGCAAAACCCAGCGAAGGGCTTCTACACTCTAGCAGGGAGGCAGGAGCGGTGACCTTTCTTGAGTGGCAGCTTTCAGGCCTGTACTGCGAGGCTGCGTGTCAGTGACTTGAGCTGGGCCGTGACACCTGTGTAGAGAAGTCGAGATGATGTCTACTTGGTGCCAGTAATGCAGTGTCAGAGGACATCCTGACTGGCTCTGGCTACAGCCAGAGCATCCGAAGAGAGATCCTTCTCATTGCAGAGGTAAAGCACACATTACTTCAGCCTCCATATTTCCCTGTAAAACCTTCTTGAAAGTAAATCCAAATATATGTATTTTTAACTGCTAGAAAGTCCACTGTATCACTGTATCGATCCACACCTGAGTGCTTTTAACCCACCTGTGACCACAGATACCATCCCAGTGACAACCACGGACCCAGATGAGGGCTCTGGAGATACCTAGACTCTTACAG